AATAAGAAGTTCTTATTAAGTTAACAATTAGAGGCTCTTATTACGTTAACAATTAGAAGTTCTTATTAAGTTAACAATTAGAAGCTCTTGTTACGTTAACAATTAGAGGCTCTTATTACGTTAACAATTAGAAGCTCTTATTATGCTAACAATTAGAGGTTCTTATGACGTTAACAATAAGAGGCTCTTATGACGGTAACAATAAGAGGCTCTTATTACGTTAACAATTAGAAGTTCTTGTTAAGTTAACAATTAGAAGCTCTTATTACGTTAATAATAAGAAGTTAACCATTAGAAGCTCTTATTACGTTAATAATAAGAAGTTAACCATTAGAAGCAATTCAAGTGGAGAGTCAATAAACATAGTTTTGAAATTTCCATTTCTGAAGAAAAATTATATCATATTTAAAAGCCGGTTCTCTTTATTATTTTTGATAATTATAATTAATTACAGTCTCACGCTGACATTAAAATTAGTAATCATTAAATCTTAAAGCATATGTTAGTATACATATGATTATATTAGTGATTCTTTTCACTTAGAATACAACCTTTCTTGACAGGAATTTAGTTTCTAACTGGGGTGTTCAGGAATATTGTTATCCCCCTTCGCCCCGCTCGCGATAGTTTTTGTTCGTTACATTCGTGTGATATTTAAATTTTAGCTGAAGAGGTTGATCTTACGTTATCTAGTGAGTTTAAAGACTTGAGATTGGAGTATGGAGAAATTAGAAAAACAGAGTCATGTCTGGGGGTTCCAGGGCTGAGAAAAAAAAACCGAAGCTGATGTGTATCTAAGAGGTGGAGATTACAAGTTATTTCCTTCATTATAAAGACACACGGTAGTGTGTCGTGTGGCCAAATCAACCTGCAGGACTCACCGTGTTATTAAAAGGAATGATAGTTTAGCGATTTTCCACTTTCTGTAGCTCAAACTGTGGTAATCCAAACTATCACATATTTTCAGTGGATGTGCTCTATTGGATCTTTACTTCACATACCAAATTTCAAGACAATCCATTTAGAAATACACGAGATATAAAATATACAACCTTTCATTAAAGTTCTTCCTGTTAATTTTTTCTTCGCGCCAAAAGTAGGAAACTTTATTTGATAGAAAAACATACTTAACTTTCATGGATTTTTTTCAAATTCGAAACACTGGTAGATCTTTATAACCTACAATTAGGTGTCAAATTTGTTCTAAATATAAGCCACATGTGCACAGTTATTCAACAAAAACCGCTCAATTCTAACCAATATTTTTGCGCACACCTACACAAAAAGTCACGTGAGCTATCGCACTAAAATTTTTATACAGCTTCACCCAAGAGTAAAGATGGACCACTTTTAACTTTTGTCACTCGGATTAAAGACGGCTGATTTAGAGCAGCAAAACTGTAGGATGAAATCACGTCCAGATACATAAGTATTGGTTAGACCAAGCAAACTAGATTAGCAGTTTCTAGATCAAGTTTTCAAAAGAATCATACAGGTGGACGGTCACTGTCATTGTCATTATTCATTGTCAGCTTTTAAGCACAAATTTGATGAACTTATGAAATTCTCCTAATTAAAGAGGGTTTAGCGTCACGTGATATTAGCGTCAATAATGATGCTTGATACGGTTGTACCAACTGCTACGGGTGATGACAAAAACTATCAATCTAGATTCCATGGCGTTACTATAAAGTTATTAACAATGGTTTAGAGAGGAAAAATTTCAACCATATATTTTGAAGAATCTGGTTGGCTCTGTAAAGTATAGATCTGTTCCGAATAATAGGGTTGCAATCCTAAAGCTAATGTTGGTTACGATCGAGTGTCATTTTCATACTTGCTGTGGTTTGTTGGTGTGTATTGACAAAAAATCTTGATATCCAATCAAAAACACCTTAGGTGTGAAAAAAGGTGAGACTAAAAAAAAAAAAGATTCAGCGTGCGACTTAAAGGAATGAAACTAAAATTGGCGGCCAGACTGGTAGCTACACTCATAGCATTGATAGAATTTTACAGCAAATATTCATTCATTAGTTAGCTAGGCCGCCTATTTTGTTTTACCAACCATCATACTCAAAGATTATATTTTCATTATAGCGAATCATTAGAACCTTGTATGGTTGCTACAACATGGTAGAATACAACCTTCCTATGTCTCAAACAGTAGATATTACAGGTTATTTCTTCACATTATTTTCATTATGCTGAAGCATTACAATCCTATGTGGTTACAACTACTATATAATGCATTTTCTTTTTTTCCACAGATAGGTGGCACTGGTATGAGGAGTCTAAAGGAAACCTACTCCGCAATCTAAAGCATGAGCGGAACTACAACATTGCCAGAAACTTAATCCTCTTTGTAGGTGACGGGATGGGGCTTACCACCATCACAGCTGCTCGTATTTTACGTGGCCAGCAGCGTGGTCAGACTGGGGAAGAAAACAGCCTAGCCTTTGACAAGTTTGAACACGTGGCACTAGCAAAGGTAAGAATATGTATATTATATCTTTCTGTAAAAGAATGCAAATTGATTTAAAAGAGTGAAAAAACATTCATACCAGGAATTTTCAGAGTAAAGTTTAATTACTTTCAATCATAAAAAAATGAGTTTCTTTGGGAGATTATTCAGATTTTCCTCAGTACATTTCCTCATATGCAGTTACTAAAAAAAATTCCATATATTTTCTTAGATTTGTAATAAAGAAAGTTGAGTACTATATATTAAAATTATTTTTAGTATGGCACCACAGGCAGCTAGTGCAGAATGTATGAGAACTACATTTATACATTGTTTGGCTTTGCATACGCAGTGTTGTGGTATCGAAATTTGATCGTTTTGGTGAAAACAGCTCTTTCTGACACACAATATCCATAAGCTTAAATCAAAAGATGTGTTCAGGTCGGAGATTTAGAATTTCAAAAATATTCTTTGTACTTAATGGCATTGGAAAAAAAGGAATTTGTATCAGTTTGGGCAACCAAGGCCATCCAGAAAGAGACCTGCAACAAGTCGGGGAAAAATAGCAATAAGTGGTGACTCTTGACGAAGCATATGTGTAACTTGATGCCTGTAACAAGTCTCCTGCCGTTCTCTTGCGATCAATGGGTAGAAATAAAAATTTAAAAGAGGTTCACTGCATGCCGCGAACCTTTTTCGAAGGGATTCATAATCATCGCTGGATACTACGCCAGGTGCAAATTAAGGATCAGGGGATTGGATACAAAGGTCAAAGTGAACTCTGCTTATAATAAGAATAATGTTCTGGACTATTTACAACATACAAAAATACCAGATTTGTACGAAAACGCGACCAATAGAGTATGGGTTCACCAAGATAACGTTTTCAGTTATAACTCCCGTTAAACCTTCGCATACCTCAAGCACCTGAAGAAAACAAAATGGGTATTCATGTTATTCCATAAAAAGACATACAGATAAAGTTCCAGGATTTGTGTGAGATCGGACTGTTGAAACTGACACTAGGAAACTGTTAAACTCAGACACTGGATGGCATATAGAGACAAACAAGGGGATTCGTATGCTTTGGCCATTTCAGTCTTATGATGGAGCCTTTTGCAATGGACATTTTGCTGTGGGGCTATTGTTAGAACATACGCTCCTCAGATAGAGCATGACTGGACGTGGCGATATAGTTTGTTTGTTTGTAATTAAGCACAAAGCTACACAATGGGCTATCTGTGCTCTGCCCACCACGGGCATCGAAACCAGGATTCTAGTTTTATAAGTCCGCGGACATGCCGCTGTGCCACTGGGGGACGGCGATATAGACTGTAACTACGTGGTGAGGCTCGAAATCGTTTTAATATAACGTATTCATCCCTCTGTATAAAACGTTCCTGTACATATTGGCTTAGACTTATTATGAAATAAACACAGAGTACATTTAAATGGGATAATACTGAGATTGAAAATTAATTTTATGTGTAGGAAATGTTCTTCCTTAGTGCCAGTCTAAACAAGTGGTGCGCAAACTTTAATGACGTCCCCTTTCTAAACACGTGCTTTACTTCCCGCATCCCATATAATTTATTTTTGTAGTTACTGTACATGCCATTTTCCAATGTTAATTGTTGTTTTTATATTACTTAATAGTAGTAATATCTCGAGGGTAGTTTTTAAAATTTATTTATTTCCATATTTATTATTTCAGACATAATTTATATTCTCCAATAGTCATAGTCGCGCGCCTCTACCGACTCTCCCTGCTTCGTTTGGGGGATTCGCCCCACAATTTGCACACCACGGATGTAGACTAATAAAACACGCTTAATGAAAGTTGTTTCAGAAGTCTCTTCTAAGGTTTTGATAAATTTGCAGGCCTAAAACTGTGAAGTAACGTATATCCCTTCCAATAAACAGAAGTATAATTCATTCAACTTTAAAGTTAGGTATTTTCTAATAATGCCGTAGATTTACGTTTCTTGCTAACATTTCTTTTTTCCTTCAGTTTCATTATATATATATACAGTACTTGTAACTTATCTTACAGTATACCTTGCTAGACCAGTTTCGTTGTACTTACAGTACTCATATCTATCTTACCCCCAATAAGTACCAGACCAGTTTCGTTGTACTTACAGTACTCATATCTATCTTATCCCCAATGAGTACCAGACCAGTTTTGTTGTACTTGTAGTACTCATATCTATCTTACCCCCAATAAGTACCAGACCAGTTTCGTTTTATATAAAATACTGGTATCTATCTTACAGTAAACAATATTATAACAATTTCGTTTTACATAAAATACTGGTACCTATCTTACAGTAAACAGTATTAGACCAGATTCGTTGTACACAGAGTGCTTGTATCTGTCATACAATAAACAGTAATAAACTACTTTCGTTATACATAAAATACTGGTATCTATCTTACAGTAAACAGTATTAGACCAGATTCGTTGTACACAGAGTGCTCGTATCTGTCATACAATAAACAGTAATAAACTGCTTTCGTTATACATAAAGTACTGGTATCTATCTTACAGTAAACAGTATTAGACCAGTACCATGGCCATGATCACGAATCAATGTAATTTTTGTGAATCCTCCGAAGATATGTTAAACAATTCTTGTGTTCAGTTTGGTGAGTCTTTCTTTTCCCTTGATACAGAAACAGGATATAATGATACCTACATGATCTTATCATCTATATCAGACATCAATACAACAATGAAGCATCATTGAAGTCAACCAGTAGGAGGAATATATTCCGACAGTAACTTTTACATAAATAGAAACCATTTCTTATATTAGACAGCAAAAGAAAACTAAATAGGACAGCATACTTACACAGTCTGCATAAAGAAGAACGGATCTTTACTATGAATTAAAATAGAATCTATATTAAAAAAAGATATGAAGCCATTGTTTATTTTATAGGAACAAATTTACTTATGAAATTGGTGCTTATTTCATAGGAAACAAATGTTTATTTTATAAACACAAGTGAACATATGATGTTGTTGTTTATTTTATAAGCCCAAGTGAAACATATGATGTTGTTGTTTATTTTATAAACCCAAGTAAACATATGATGCTGTTGTTTATTTTATAAACACAAGTGAACATATGATGTTGTTGTTTATTTCATAAACACAAGTGAACATATGATGTTGTTGTTGTTCATATAAACACAAGTGAACATATGATGTTGTTGTTTATTTCATAAACACAAGTAAACATATGATGTTGTTGTTTATTTCATAAACACAAGTGAACATATGATGTTGTTGTTGTTCATTTTATAAACACAAGTGAACACATGATGTTGTTGTTTATTTTATAAACACAAGTAAACATATGATGTTGTTGTTCATTTTATAAACACAAGTGAACATATGATGTTGTTGTTTATTTCATAAACACAAGTGAACGTATAATGTTGTTATATATTTTATAGACACAAGTGAACATACGAAACAACAGACTAATGACAGCTAACCTCAAAACTCTTCACCTTGATAGACTTCAGATTAATGACGACTAATCTCAAAACATTTTCATTTTGACAAACTTCAGACTAATGGCAACTGATTTTAAAAAGTCAGTGAGACTCAATCTGTTATACAGAACTACGTAAATAAATATAGGGTTAGGGTTACAAAGCGAAATGTGAAACATAAACTCTAGTTACTCCTCAAGTAGAGAGAGAGGGAGTATAAACAGAAATGTCATTAGGAATTCCTTTACTCCTCTCCCCCCTTCCCATTCAACCTTTTTTAACTCTGCTCATCTTTTTCATTTACGTCAACCAACCCATAGCTACTGGTGTATTTATTTCTCAACTTTCTCTTGCTCAGAAAGATGGAATGCTTCTTCATATCCTTCTTAAGTTCCTCCAAAGCCATAAAACTCCACTATGAGGCCTTGGAAAGTCTTGAAGCTCTGCCCAAGTTGGTTAGGTGTATACAGAATTTTCTCTGATTTCCCCCATTGATGTGTCCAATGAAGAAATGTGGATATGTCTTGACAAACATAATCTCATTTCTAAAAGAAAAATGAGAACTGAGGAAATGCAATAACTGCAGTCGTTTTTTTTCCCCTCAGGATGGGTGGGTGAAGACGATTTCGGGACCAAAGTTTATCCATTTTAAGTTTGTGCAGTGCATAATATAAAGTGTAGGGAACCTTTGCTAAAATCTTCTGAAGTTCGGGTATTTAATTCTTAATGATACAAAGCAATATTGATTACAAAATATTTTCTAATGACAAAAAGTTTATTTACTAAGATATTAGGTTGGAGACGAAATCAGACGTTTTTACACTTTTATGAAGAAGGGGGAAACCCCCCTTTGAATAAAACTAAGGAAACGACATGACCCTATTTCTAACACTGTTGAATAAGGCCGAAAACAGAATCTAAATTCAGACGAGGAATGGGCGTCTGAGGGTCACCTGAGATCCCCAGCAAGTCCAGGGCAGAGCTATGATGTTGGTGTGTCTAGGGTGGTGAATCCCCCCACCTCCAGTGGAAAATGATTTTAATTTCGTATCAATGTGGTCTAGACAGCGGTGTAAAACAGTTAAAATTTTCAAGAAAGGTGTCCCACTTGGAGGAAGAAAACATTATTTTACACCCCATTTTCGTCATTTACTTCTGCATTGACTGCCCCTCTATTCACGATTTATGAAGCCGTCCCAGTAAAAACTATCAGTTATAACAGGAATCTAAAAAGTGACTTCAACTTTCATGTAAAAGTTAACGTAAAATACAATATCTGCTTCTTGTTGAAAAAACAAGTGTTTTCCAACTTACATTAATTCCTCTAGTACTAAATATATTGCAATTCCATGACAATCAATCCAACTACTTATGTCATATCCGAAGAAAGTTTACACTATTCGACATTCCGCGGGCAGTTAGATATTGACCAGTTACATTCGGGAAAAATATGTAATTATTTATAACTCATAGTATGAAATATTACATGTAGATATTTTTAAACACCTTTCCAAAGTAATTTGGAATTATATTAGTGAAAAAAAAAGATATATGATAAAAGATCTAAAGATATGGTCAGTAAAATTTTGGACGGGGTAACTGCCTTGTATTTCCCAGTGGTAGTAATGGCTCTACTGAGATGACCTTAAGGTCCTCTTCAATTTTGTCAGCAAGAGTAAATGGACTGCCCTCCGTATTTTGTCCCTGCACGATGTAGTGTATACGTTTTTTAACAAGTATAATATATTTCAGTCGTTTGAGTAAAAGGCCGGAAACACATTAAACGTACTTTGGAGCGCCCTCTTTCAATTATTAGGAGAATTATGTTGTGGACCCTTTTCTTACTTAAACCAAGAGATCACAACTCTTGCTTTCATATATTCTAATCTTTCATGACCTGGTTCAGGATTTTAATCCCATTTTGCGGAAGACGCTGGAGGTGCCTATTTTGTCACAGAGTTGCTAAGTCTCTTTGAGAAAATGTGTTTCCACAAGATGCATTAGCTGTATCAGATTTGTTTTTGAACTCCTAACCCTGGTCGCCATATTCGCACTTCATCTCAAGACTGTATAATATTGGCGACCTTCTCAAGCACCTGAAATTATTCATTATATACTCTTCATAACCAACTGTCAAACTGCATGTTAGAATCTATAAGCGGCTTAATTTAAACTCAAGAGTGAGCTTAATTAAACAGTGTTAAAAATGTGGGCACTTATTTGAAGAAATAATGCCAAAAAATATCATCATCCACCACCACACCTAAGTTCACTTGAACCACTCAGACTGCCTAACCGAGAATTAAGTTAGTGAACTGCGTATTATCATGACAAACGTACATACTACATACTTTTTGTGAATTTGGTTGGTAGTAGTGTATTATCTCGCGTATTTCGGAAAAAAAAAGAGTATTACATCATTTGAAAGTTAGCAATTTGACCGGTTTTGTACTGTGATGTGTTTGACTCCCTAACATTCCCTAACAAATCGAATGTAACATTTAACCGCCAGGTAGCGAGTGTTTGTTTGTTTTGAATTTCGCGCAAAGCTACACGAGGGCTATCTGCGCTAGCCGTCCTTAATTTAGCAGTGCAAGACTAAAGGGAAGGCAGCTAGTCATCACCACCCACTGCCAACTCTTGGGCTACTCACATTACCAACGAATAGTGGGATTGACCATCACATTATAACGCCTACACGGCTGAAAGGGCGATATGTTTGGTGGGACGGGGGATTCGAACCCGCGACCCTGAGATTGCGAGTAGAGTGCCCTAACCACCTGGCTATGCCGGGCCAGGTAGCGAGTGTAAACATATCAATCACCAGAAGAAAATAGTGGGTTTTTTTGGTTCAATCCATTAAATACCAAACTGAGAAAGAGCTGCTTCAGAACCAGTTTTACCGCAAGTTATTATTTCTAATAAAACCCAAAATTAATTGGCACAACTTGGTGAATAAAATGTTTCTTTGTCAAAAAAAAAAGTTTTAACGTTCCGAAATCTCCTAAATATAATATTCCCACAATAAAATGTTATCAACCTATCATGAGTTTCATATTTCGCCACAATTCAAAAAACTGTGCAACAGAAATGCTGATTTATTTACGAAAATAGTTTATCAAAACAGAAAAATTAGCATTTAAACTAAAATCAGCACATAAAATAAAATAATTAAAAGCAATTCATCAGGATGGGTAGTATTTTTTTCACAAAAAAAATAAAACATTGGTAACTAATGGGTTAAAGATAAACTCACTAATCAAATCAAAATTACCTTTCACACTGCTTAAGTGAAGTTCAGAACTTCGACTTATGTCAAGGTAAAACAAGGTAAGACAACGTTTAAAGATATATCGGCCAGGTGGTTAGGGCGCTCGACTCGCAATCTGAGGGTCACGGGTTCGAATCCCCGTCCCACCAAACATGCTCGCCCTTTCAGCCGTTGGGGCATTATAATGTGACGGTCAATCCCACTATTAGTTGGTAAAAAAGAGTAGCCCAAGAGGTGGCGGTGGGTGGTGATGACTAGCTGCTTTCTCTCTAGTTTTACACTGCTAAATTAGGGACGGCTAGCGCAGATAGCCCTCGTGTAGCTTTGCGCGAAATTCAAAACAAACAAACAAGGATACATCTTCATCAAGTACAGGTATAAGTTATGCAAAGCTCCATTACGTACCCTCTGCAGAACAACTACAAGATATTGTACTTAACTCTGAACCCAGAAAAACACTGAACTTATTATAGTTTTTCTATGCTTTTGATATTAGATTAATATTCCTTGACAACTTTTGAAAAATCATAAAGTTAGCAGTGAAAAGAACTGGTGAACTCCTTTCAAAAAAGTCACTTGTTCTTCTTTCAAGATGGAGTAGCCTAATCTTAAGTACAATATGTCCTATATTTATAGAACTGTCTCTGTTTGTATAAAACACACATCTGTTTAAAAATATTTTGAGCCTTAAGGTTTCAGCTGTTTTTGTATCTCGGGTTTTCAGACATACAATATCGACAGTCAAGTAGGAGATTCCGGAGCATGTGCCACTGCCTTGTTGAGTGGGGTAAAAAGTCGCTACGAAACGTTAGGCCTGGATGACAGCGGACTTTACGAGAATTGCTTGTCTAGCATTACATCAAGAATCCCTTGCTTGACGGACTGGGCCCAACAAGAAGGTAAGAGTTGCACACGTTTCAATAAAAGATCAACTTTTAGTCAGTGAAAGAATCAAAGTCTGTTTGAAACAAGATATTTCAATCATAATTGTGAAGTCAGTTTCTGTTTGTACGTTTGAGTCTTAGATTCAAAAATACACAACACGCTAATCGCACTGTGATCACCACTGTAATCGGGCCCCCAGAAATGTTAACGTTATTAGTTCTCAAGCTCACCGCTGAACCACGGGGAAGGGGGTAACTAGTTCCGGTTCAGGAAAGATTCAGAAGGAATCATTCTTAGTGTTCTTCAAGGACTTGCTATAAAACCCTTGCTAGCTGGCGAGCCGGATTTTAATCGGTGCGGTGCCACATAATAGTCCTCGCACTTTAAGCTGTTACAAGAGAGACAGTCAGTTCCTTAGCGTGGATTGTGGAGTGCTGCTGCCTGGCTGCTTACTCTTTTAGATAGCAGTTCAAATTTAAGAACGGCGACAGAAAGCCTTAGCAACTCTGCCATTAGTAAAACAAACAAATAGAAAATAAAGGGTTATATATATGAAACTATTTTCCCACCCCTCGGTTAATTAGCTGTAAAGTTAAACACTTATAACACGGGAACTCGGTGTTCAATTATTGTGGCGATCATAGCGCAGAGAGCTCATTGAAGTTGTGGGTTCCATATATGTTTAAAAAAATGGAAGTTAGCTTATTTTTACTAATTAGTAAAGACAGCTTGTAAGAATTTTCCACTCTCTAAAACACGATTAACCAGTTCGTTCCGAGCGCAAAAAAACACAGTTTGTTGTACCTCACTTCCGGTGAGAACAATGGAACTATCCTTGTGACGTATCAGTTTCACATTTGAAAGACTTTGACATCTCCACCAACGAAACTTACAAAAACGGCTATTTATTATCCCCAATGAATACCAAAATACCGCTCTCTGAATGAACTGAGATTTTAAAATGAAAATGCCTGATTATCTTCATTAGGTAAGGCGACTGGACTGGTAACGACAACCAGGGTCACTCACGCTACCCCAGCGGCCATGTACGCCCACTCAGCCAGCAGGTACTGGGAGTCTGACGATAAGATGCCGGAAGATGCCCGTAGTACGTGTAAAGACATCGCTAGGCAACTGGTGGAAGATGAGCCTGGCCGCCACATAAACGTAGGATTTTAAAAGAAACAAAACTGTTATAACAATAATTAACAAAAGACGGAGTCAACTGACGCATGAGTGTATTAGTTGTTTTTCTGCATATTAACAAACAAATATAAGACCAACAGATGGCAAGTAAATCGCACCATTATTTAGATATATCTTTTTAAATTGTAAAAATTACATCCTTCAGAACAAGAATTTACACTTAAAGATCGGAAGTTTTCACGATATTCAATTCAATTAATCTGATGTTCAGAATACAACAAATAAAATATATTTGTGGACTCGGTTGTTTCAGATTCACAAAATTGAAAAATAAAATAGAAATTATCTATATTTTGTCAAAAAGTACTACATCTGATATCCATTAAAACATGGATTTGACCGACACGTTAGCAGAAGTTCTCAACACATTTGATACAAATGTTGACAACTAGCAGCTTAGAGCTCTTGTATAAGATGTTTTCGTGTTCTTAGTTGTCATTGTTTTGGTACTACAGGCGACCTTACGTTGTTCAGTCCAGAGATGTACTGTAACATGTGGCTGAAGCCATAGAACTCTTGTACAAGATGTTATCGTGTTCTTAGTTGTCATTGTTTTGGTACTACAGGCGACCTTACGTTGTTCAGTCCAGAGATGTACTGTAACATGTGGCTGAAGCCATAGAACTCTTGTATAAGATGTTATCGTGTTCTCAGTTGTCATTGTTTTGGTACTACAGGCGACCTTACGTTGTGTCAGTCCAGAGATGTACTGTAACATGTGGCTGAACCCATGTATCGGTATAAGTTCATAACAGTTAGGTGTTTGTGTCATTTGTCTTCGTATTGTAATTAATTGTGATTTGGAAATATTGATTATTGAAAACAACGCATTAGATGGCGATAGTTAACAAGAAGATATTTTTAAAAATACCGAACTATCTTGGGTTTTGGGTAAGGTTTGTGTTTTAGTATAAATTTTAATGTATTTAGTCCTGAATATTATCACTTCGATGTTGTTTTATTCGATCCGTGTTTATCGAATGTATCCAGTTTTTACCAACTCTACATATTATTCCACTAACTTCCTCGATCGGCGCTATCTTTCTGCTTTACAAGTTTGTTTGTTGTTAAGCGCAAAGCTACACAATGAGTTATATGTGCTCTGAAAACTGTATATATCGAAACCAGATTTTTAGCGTTATAAACCTTTAGTCTTAACTCTGAGACACTGGAGGGTTGCTTTACAAAGCTAACGCGTAACAAGGGAGTTCTACACATATGTAATTTACACTCATCATGGTACTCCAGCAAATATGTATACATTCATACATATCTGTATATATCAGTATATTGGCAGTGCTAACTTTCTAGGCATCAGATCCCTGCTTACAAGCGTGTGAGGTGTGGTGAAGAGCTGGAAGGAGGAGTAACGTAGTTGACTACGTCAGTCAGATATTAGTTGGCAGTGTAGTCTTAAAAGTAATTACAATGTTTCCACCTTTAGATAAAAAAAAACAGATTCCGGATCTCAGATCCGCCAGAAATTAAACCTTGTATATGTACAGAAACTAAAAACGTCTTACATCACCATCACATCATTTATGAAATCAACGATCTTGATGTTGAAACATCTAAGTTCAGAATAGTCTCGAATGCAAGCATAGTGTAGTGGCTTTCCTCGAATTATACGGATATGCAGCATTATAGGGAAAAAACACCCACCGCTAGCACGCGGGGTTCGAATCTCCTTCCAACTGGGGTTACGAGAAGCAAGTACTCTTTCAAACTGAACATGTGAAGACTCTGTAGGCTCGATGATGGGCCTTCTTTAGGAGATGGTACGATTGTTAAAGAGGACGAGTTTAATGACAGAAAAAGTGCTTTAAAGGGCTCTTTTAAGAGTAGCCTTAATTGCCTTTGATATCGAAAAGGGTAGACTGATATTACTCTAATACTGATTAAAACACAGATGTGTGACCAAGAATGTTTGCCTAATGCCATAATAAATGACCTTCAGAGTGCTCAATTGTTTTGTTATTTTTCATTCACTACATTTGAAGTCATTATACTCCAGGTAATACTTGGAGGAGGTCGACGTCACTTCCTGCCACAAAATGAGCGAGATCCTGAGCGTCCGGCTGACATAGGTCGACGTCAGGATGGAAGAAACCTGATTGAGGAATGGCAGAAGGACAAAAAGGCACGAGATTTACATCATCGGTTTGTGTGGAAGAAGGAAGATTTTGAAGCAGTGGACACTGGGCGTACAGATTACTTGTTAGGTAATTCCTTTCTAATAAAATTTATAATTTAATCATCATACTTGACATAAAGAATAGTATGGTTTTCTTGTTAGTTTCAGATCTAGTTAACTACACATAGCAGTCCTAATTTTGAGCTAATAGACAAGAGCACAGATAGCTAGTACACAGGACCCACAGCTAACTCTTGGCTTACTCTAGTCTGATCGAATAGTGAAATTTGACCGTAACTCTTATAAAGCACCCACGGCCTCAAAGTGCTGACCGCATATTTGCGGCAACGAGTGGCGAACCATGAATTCTCTAAGTTACAGGCCAGGCGCTCTACCCATTAGACGAGGCTCAGCTCCTCTAGTAAAGTAATCAAAATTTGATTTAGATATGGACTGGTGATCAGCGTGTGCATTTTCTTTTGTTTTTTCATTAGGGCTCAGCAAAACAAAACAAAATTATAAAATGATTTCAGTAACACTCAAACCAATCAAACAATACGATCTTTGAATGAAAAAAGTACTATAAATACTATACTAAAGCTTGCCGTATTTTCTTACAAAGAGTATTATAAAGCCTCTAAAATTTTCATCAAAATGGCTCCAGTGGTATAATTTGTTTTGGTTTGTTACTATTTCTATGGATTTCGATAGTTCATTAAGTATTTGAGTCACACTTAACGGTTGATCAGTTTGAGTCTTATGTCACAGCTGAGACCCTTTTTACATGCATTTTCCGTGGCTATTGATTTCCTTTGAAATATATAACAGATTTTTTTTTTCAGTAAATTATCATGTTCAACAGATTGAAAATGCCGAATTACTGCCGATCTTAAAACTAAGTTTTAGTTTATTTCAATAAAGTCCCTAAAAAATACAAGTTATTTCAAATTTACAGTTGATTGGCGAGCTGTCTAAAGACCTCAAACAGTGAATTTGAATATGTTTTTATTAATATATATATATATATTAATACAGTCTACGTGGAGGATTGCTATCCATCTGAATGATATTATAATAGATTTCACCCAACTCCTTAGAAATTGTCTTGTTTGATCCGATGACAATCTGCTCTAGCAGATCGAAACTGGAACACCAAATCCGTTGAAACGATTTAGATGAAGTTTTGGATACATACTGATACGATATTTCAGTATTAATTGGAGTCCGCGATGCAATATATAACGTTGAGGTATCATTCAGTGTCGGTGTGTTTGTTTGTTGTTAAGCTCAAAGCTACACAATGCTATTCTCACCTCGGGCATCGAAACTTAATGCTGAGCCACTACTCATTACTCATTGGTTATTATAGTTATAATAACTACTGGCACATCTCTAGTAAACTTGCTATGTGTTTATCCTCAAAAGTATGCTTTTTGAATAACTTGAGTGAATACCTGGTTTGGGGAAGGTGGTGCATTATGTAGCATTAAATATTCGTTTGAGCTCCTTAGAACATTTAAAAATAAACAATTATTTCCGAATTTAATTTTTTCAGATGTAAAATATTAATTTATGTATTTAACATAAAGCAGACGTTTACACTGAATACTGCAAAAGCTCAGTTGCAGAAGAAATGAGACTTTTTTTTTTCATATAGCGTGGAATGAAGCAGATGATAGTCTGTCTGATTCAAGTGCGCAGGTTGTTCTGACAGAAGGAATCATGATAACATTTGGTAGAGAGTGGAATCGACAGCAGCTAAAGCGCATTTGTGACAGATAAACATTTGGCCACGAAAACACGGTTTATCATACAAACGACTGCATGAGGGCGTTTTTATTATTTTTGTAGTTATTTCAAATTATTCGGTATAACTTACATACATTTAATTTTCTTATCCAAGCGATTAATCAAAGAGAAAGACGGTATGTAAAGAAACTCCTAAATTATTGAACTATAGCATAATGGCTGGAAATGGCATAAAATTATTCGAAATGTAAAATCTTTCAAAAAATAGGAAAGTTATATAATCTCTTGAAATAACCCGAAAGTTGAATGTTACCGCACAAGACTCGAAAAAATCGACATGAATTAACTAAATATTCCATTCTTAATTCCTCATGTTGATTTACGCGTTTCGAAAAGCCTTAAGACTTTTTAAAGAAAACAGACAAGTAAGTTTCGCTCCCGTGAACAGACTCACAAAACTTTATCCAATTATATTTTCTAGAGTCATCAACACAGACTCAAACTCTAGACACCTACCGGTTAGAAAACGACTATGGTTATCATATTTTCAACTGCACAGTTAGATAGTTATGACAGTTTACAGATTTTAAAGTTCATCTTAAAAAAAAACCTTATCACGTGTAAGTAAGACCGCGGCATTTCCTTAGTTCCGGTTATAGTAACGAGTACTTCCGATTAAAGATATTAAAAGATACTTCCTAAAGGCATAACTTCCTGCAAACCCGCTTAAAAATGCTAAAAAATATTTTTGAAATTTGATTTAATATATATATATATATTTAAAGTAGTAATGTTACTACCGTATATTCTTTTGAGTAAATTTCATTATTTGAGTTGTTATATGCATTGAGGATTTAATTGTTGTTGTTTTTTTAGACTTTTGCCCCAAAGCTACACATACAAAGATCTGCACACAACCGTCCCTAATTATGTGCTGATAGACTATAGGGAAGGCATCCAATCAACAGCCTGTTGAACTACTCTTATCTGACCGAATAGTGGGATTTGACAGTCATTCTTATTGCGCGTTTTTTTTTGTTTTTTTTTGTGGCAATGAGACATGAACTAAGAACCCTCGGATTCTCAGTACGGGTACGCTAACCACAAGGCCACGCTTGGCCCATGCATTGAGGTAGAAAGAGACAATTTGCTGCCTAGTCCAAAACAGATCTATTTGTCGGTTTAACAATAAAGAAGTTAAACCACGCACTAAATTCACTAAACTAAAGTTATTACTTTTTCTTCCAGTTTTGAAGTAACTGAGCCAATCAGTAATAGCTTATAGGTCTATTGTATTTAAATTATGATATATTAACTCTATTGCTCACGTAGATACCCGGATGATGAGGGTTTTAAAGCTTCTTAAAAGACAATCCGTTTTAACGAAAATAGCCGCTACATAAACAGTAATTAAATATTATTGAATTCTCTTTTATGCATTGGTTTAATTGTTTAAGTATACCTATTACTGTTTCTTAAGAAGATAAGTCTTTTTGTAGCTGGTAAGTCTTCTATTGTTTATGATTTCTTCTGCATCTGTTCGGGTATGGCCAGGTGGTTAGGGCGCTTGACTTCCAATCTGATGGTCACGGGTTCGAATCCCCATCCCACCAAACATGCTCGCCCTGTCAGCCGCGGGGGCGTTATAATGTTATGGTCAATCCCACTATTCTTTGGTAAAAAAAGAGTAGACCAAGAGTTGGCGGTGGATGGTGATGTCTAGATGCCTTCCCTCTAGTCTTTCACTGCTAAATTAGGGACGGCTAGCTTTGTGTAGCTTTGCGCGAAATTTAAAACAAACCAAACTTTATTTCACGTAAAATATATATATCTTGTACTGTACAGCTGCTCGAGTCAAAATATTGTGTGTTCGCTTGTTCTTATTGTTATTAAATGTTATATTAAAAAAAAAAACGAATGCTAAACGAAAATATCCTAATGTATTGCAGGGTTATTTGACCACTCTCACATGACATACGAAACTGACCGAGACAAAGGTCCAACTGGTGAACCCTCCTTAGCGGAGATGACTCAAAAAGCTATTGAAATACTCCGTAGAAATCCCCACGGGTATTTCTTAATGGTAGAAGGTACGTATACCATTTTGTACACGCCAAATGTATTTCGTTTCACCACTTTGTGTATATATATATATATAGCGTACGTTCTTTTTGGTTGAAAGTATGCCAACAACTTATCATTATGTCCAAGTATGATCACCTCTTATCCTATCTCTCATGTTTATTTTTATCCCAAATCGAATTCTTCCCCATTTGATATGCCCAGCGTAT